AATACATCATGAAAATTTTTTCAAATCATCAAATAAGTTTCCAACCTGGTTTTCATGTATAATTTACCCATTCTTCTGTATGTTTCTTTATGTAGGCTGGTTCCATTTTTATACATTTATAAACAAAACTGTGGTAAACATCCTTGTACTCATTCAAAGTAATTTCCTTAGTACCTTTCTAGAAGTAGAATTACTGAGTCATTGCTTTATACATTCTTAAAAGTTGACAGTAACATCCTTATCTTGTCTATCTCCGATAAGGTAGAGACCTTGGAAAGGGAAGGAAGAATTGTAAGTTGCTTTCTTTTTTCCATAATTCCCCCCCCACCAAAAGGCCCCGATTTCTGTCTTTGCCTGAGGACCTTAGATATGTCCTATTTACTCCTGTCTGGAGTCACTGCGGGTTTGAGGCACATGTGGAGCCATCTCTGGCTTGAGGAGCATCTCGGGAACCAAAACCAGACCAAGTCTATGAGATTTGTAAGAAGCTGACTTGACTCCTCCCAGGGCCACATTGTCCCCTTTACCGATGAAACCAACACAGGCCAGAGGGCTGGGGACCCTATGACAACAAGCCAGGACACATATACAGCAATGGCCCCTGTTAGTTTGTGTCCAGACTGATCAGGAATGTGGGAGTTGTCCTGGGGAGAGAGAGAGAATGTGAGTTTATTTCTAGTCTGGCACTGCCACACCATACGCTCTGTGACCTTGTGAAGGGAGGTTGTCCAACTCTTAGTAAAATGAAGACCAGGTGATCAGAAAGGCCCCTTCCTCTTGTTTTCCCAAAGTCCATGGCTTTGGATTTACCAAGACCTGATGCAGTTGTCCGCGTGATTTCACTTTGGGATGTCAGCATCTCAGTGGTCTATTCATAGATCCTTCTTGGTCATCCACCACCGACAGATCATGACATTGACATGCCCATGACAGTGACCTTCCTCTTGCCCTCCCATTCACACATTTATGTTCCTTCCACTGAAACATTTTTTGTGTGTGCCCATCTAGAGGAAATGTAAACATTTGCTTTCTTTTTAATTTCAAGATTGAAAGTTCAAAAACATTCCATAAAATACTTCTATAAAACATTAATTCTGAGCATTGAGAAGACCATGGTGCTTTGAAAATGGAAAAGATCTGTGTTTCTAACTGGACACAGTAGCAGAGAATTTTATGCCTCTAGTGTATCTCCTTTCTTTGCACTGAGCTGGTGGTTAAGTGATGTTGGATAGCGAGTACGACAGTATCTCTGCTTTAAATTGAGCTATCTTCTCCCTGAAATTTAAGAACATCACAACCACAACTTAGAATTTTCTCTGCAGAAAAATAAAATATGCTAACCTACAGAACGATGTGAGGAAATGTTTGTCTGTTTTGATCGCTCTTCAGTGTGAATGTGCCACCTTAAAATAAAATTATTATTAATTGTTATTATTTCTAATTATTGGAGAGTAGACTTAAAAGCCTCATACTTTCTACTGATGTAAAATACAGATTTCTTTCATCTTTATGATCTCATGAGGATGGGATAATTAAATAGGAAATTAATTTATATATCCGTAATTTAATAAAGAATGCTGTGCTTTTTCTTTTCAACAGTGAAGCCATATTTAAATCTGTTTACTTTTTTCCATAATGGGTGAGCAAGGCAAATAATTCTGGTTAGATTCCATTACCAAATTATAGAGAATATCCAAATTCTTTTTAGTTGCTATCAGAATTTCATTTTAAAAACTCAAACTAGAGATGTTCCTCAGTAACAATTAAAAATAAACATTTAGATATACTTCAGATAATTCTATTTAACTATTCTCCAAGAAGAGTAGTTTTCAGGAATATAAATGGTCATGAGCAGTTGACACTGTGTTTTATAAACTAAATTCTTTATAAAGATTATTTGTAAATATAAATATTATTTCATCTCATGTAATTATTCATTTCCAGAATCAGTTGCTTGTGCAATTTCCTCCCTTCCTCTTCACCTTGCAACACTTCCTTCTTTTTTCCCAGTTGGTCTAGACCTGACAGTAAAATGTCCACTACAGTTGCCAACAGTTACGTATGTTGTTCCTTGCTGAGTTTTTTTAAACTGTCCCATTTGCCCTATTTCTCCCCAGTTTCATCAGAGTTGTAGTGACCAGCTGTATAGAGAGAACTTCAGATGCCATCGCGGACCCACGGAGTAACCAGTGCTGGGGTGCCTTCTGTGGGTGCACCTTGATTAATTTCTTCCTTTTCAAGTTATGTTTGTAGTTTGGAGATCAGTTTAAGTCCATCTGGTTTGAAATCAGGATGTAAAGTCAATGAAAGTCATTTCAGAGTGTGACCTCGAGGCTTCAGGAAAGATTACTGCATGATTTCATATGGTCACTCAGCACACATTCTCTGGGAGCCTGATGTGCCCCGCTCAAAGACAGATGTACTCACGTAGGTCCCTGCCTCCCTGTGGGTGAATGGGCGAATCATGGTCTGTAGCCCACCACCTTCCCCAGATCCTATGGCTCCATCATGAACCGAGTGTCTGCACATGAGCGAGTTACTCCTCTAGCCCTGTTTCCTCATCTTGTAAATGAGACCATTTTCTTAGGTTCCCTTTAATGCTCCTTTTAGCTGTAAAATTGCCGACCTCCAATCACTGCATATTTTTCTTGGAATTGCATTGTTACTGCTTTGTCTCCCTGCCTTCATGTTGTAGTTAAACATAAATGAGGGGACTCCAGGGTTTCTAGTCTTGCATGTAAAAAGCTTGTGAGTCCCCACTTTATCCCAACAACAAGAAATAAGCTGCATAGACCGAGATCAACAACTCTTCTTGGATCCTTAGGTGGTCCCAGGGCAAACCACTGCTCCTGAGATGAGAGACACAGACAGGCCAGTACAGGGAGTCGGGGTCTCTATAGGGAGTAGAGACCTGCAGGCAATGCAAGGGAGCAAAGATAGTCTCTTCCCCAAATGCTGTCTGAACAACTGGATGGCTACATGAAAAAAAAAAAAAAATGAATCTAGACACAGACCTCATACCCTTCACAAAACTTAGTTCCAAATGGATCCTAAACCTGAATGTAAAACACAAAACTGTAAAACACCTAGGTGAGGACATAGGAGAAGGCCCAGATGACCTTGGGAATGGCGATGCCTCTTTATTTTAATTTATTTACTTTTTAGAGAGAAAGAGCATGAGCAGGGAGAGGGGGTGAAGTGGCGGAGGGAGAGGGAGAGAGAATTTCAAGCAGGCTCTACACTCGGCATGGAGCTCGACATGGGGCTTGATCTCACAACCCTGAGATCACGACCTGAGCAGAAATCGAGAGTCAGACTCTTAAGAGACTGAGCCACCTGAGTGTCCCCGGTGATGCCTTTTTAGGTACGACACCAAAGGCACAATCCGTGGAAGAAAGAAATGACAGGCTGGTTCCTTCTTAAAATTATAAAACTCCTCCAAAAGATGATTTCAAGAGAATTAGAAAACCCACAGGCTGGGCAAAAATATTTGCGAAAGACACATCTGATAAAGGACTATTATCCAAAATATACAAAGAATTCTTAAAACTCAGCAATAAGAAAACAATGGAGTAAAAAATGGGCCAAAGCTCTCAGCAGACACCTCACCAAAGAAGATACACAGACGGCAAATAAGCATATGACAGGATGTTCCATGTCATATGTCATCAGGGAAACTCAGAACAGTAAAGTACCACTGTGCATCTATCAGAATGACAAAAGTCCCCAACATGGACGTCACCAAATGCTGGCAAAGATGTAGAACAGCATGAGCTTTCATACATTGCTGGTGAGAATGCAAAATGGTACAGCCACTTTCCAAGACCATTTGGCCCTTCCTTACAAAACTAAACTTATTTACCATATGATGCGGCTGTCATGCATCATGACTTTACCCAAAGGAGCTGGTCTTTACCCAAAGGAGTTGAAGACTTCTGCCCTGCAGAAACCTGCACGTGGATGTTTATAGCGGCTTCCTTCATAGTTGCCCAAACAAGGGAGCAAGCATTCGGTAGCGGAATGGGTAAACAGACTATGGTCCGTGCAGACAATGGAATAGTATTCACCACTGACAAGGCATGAGCCGTCAAGCCAGGAAAAGACATGGAGGACCCTTCGGTGCATGTTACCAGTGAAAGAAGCCCATCTGAAAAGGCCACATGCTATGACTCCAGCTATGTGACATTCTAGGAAAGGCGCAACAAGGGAGATGGAAAAAGAGCAGTAGTTGTTGGGGGAGGGGGTGGGGGGTGAGTAGGCAGAGCACAGAGGATTTTTAGGGAGCCTTCCCCTCCACCTTGTAGTAAACCCGGACCTGCTTTATAAAAATGAAGTCCCTCTAAAAAATAACAAACTAAAAAGGGGGCAACCCAAGAGGTAAGGCCTAACCGGAGAGCCTCTGTCTCAAATTAAAATTTTTGAGCCTCCAGTAATATCGCCTTTTCTTTTCCCACAATTTCGCTCATATGTTGTTCATAAATCTTAACTCTTAACGATGGGGTTTTGGCTCCCCATTAGGTGAAATATTTCATTTAACTTCGCCAAAGCCAGACTCGGAGCAGCCTGGGAATTGTTAGGCAGCTTCCCCGCTTCCCAGTATATCAGGAGTCCCTGTATGGCTCCTTTTTGTTTATTTTTAGGGCGAGGAGGAGTTGTTTTGGACTCCCCCATGGTGGGGGTTAGGCTGCAGTATTGTGTGTGTGGCGGGAGCATAAGCTGGGCTTCGGCCCTTGCTTTGAAGTGGCAACATCAGGAATGGCCCATCCGAGGAGAGCAGCCTGGTTCAGCAGCCACAGGCCTGATTTCTGCCTGTAATCTGATTACGGGGTCTGAGCTGTTCCAGCCTGCAGCCTCCTGCTCTGCGTTTACTATACTTTCAAGGACACGAGGGCCTGATTGCTCCAGCCCTGTGCTGTGAAAAATCTCAACCCAGTTTTGCTTAGACGGGCGGCAGGCCGCGGCCGGTTGCACCGGGCTCCGGATCACACTGTGTGACTAAACGTTCTGTGTGCAACATGTTCAGAAACCCAGAGCTTGCCGGCTGCCTGGGAGCTCTCAGGTTCCCTGAGAAACAAGGTAAGGCAGGAGAAATAGGAATTGCACTTGTGGGTTTATTTTCTAACAGGATGAATGCCTCGTATCCTCCATTTTTTCCTTGTATTCTCCTGTGTCCCGTTATCCTTTCCTCAAAGGACACTTGAAAGATCTAATTGCATTTATAAATTAGCTTATTTTGTGGCTGAAATACCTGAGGTGGTTTTTTGTTTGGTTGTCGTTGTTGTTGCTTTTTGTTTTTTCTCCCCCGCCCCTTTTTTTCCCCTATTGTAAGTTAGAGATACTGCTGAACCACAAAAGCCTTTATGCAGGAAGAATTGCAGATTCAATTCCAATGCCCAAACTTTGGATCCTGTTCTGGATGTGCTGTGCATTAGCTAAAATAGTTTTCTAAAGCAAGGGCTATATGTACTAAATTATTTCCAGTAGACAGTGGTGTTTGTCTTTTTTATGAAATCTTCATGTGATACTGTTTGGAACAAAATGTTGTTTTTGTAGTGGCTTCCTTTGAGGGCAGAGGAAAATGCATGCTTTCCATGGAACCGCCGGAGTGACTCCACGGATTCCAATCACTGATTGAACAGGGCTGAAATGCTGAAGTTATTTTGACTGTCCCGTGTGAAATTCTGGCATTCTGTGTCAAAGTCTTTTCCAGCACAGATGAACTCTTAGGAGGTGATTCAAAGAGGCCTCAGCTTCGGGAATTTTCTTCTACAACATTTGCTAGCTTTTTGAACTGAGTTCTCTCTCTCTCTCTTTTTTTTAAAATATATAACACGATATTTGTATATTTAGGAAAAAAGCTCAGGTCTTTAATTGGCCTTATACTTTTCATTTTACTGTATTTCTCTAGTTGGTCAGAATTTCCAAATGCCAGGAGGCTCTGGATGTGTTTTTGCTGGTTAAGGACATGTCAGCATCTGGTGCATTTTGTACCTCCTTTTCCTCAGGCTTCTGCCCCCAAATATTAGACAGTAAAAGGCACTTGCTTAGAAGTCTGTGTAAGTGGTCTGCTTGTGGTTTTCTTGGTGGACAAATGATTACTGTGCCAAAAGTTGTAAAACATTACTTGCCATTAGATCGGTATAAATTTGTCTCTGCCTGGTTTTGATTAACTGGTCCACCCGGATGTGTCTTTTTGCTGTGTGGGATTGTTACCACCTGTCTTTACATAATACATATCTCGTCTTCAAAAATAAAGAAAGAAATAGTTAATTTGATGATTTGTTATTATTTAGATTTTAATGAAGGCAATAAAGAGAGCAGACCTATTCCCCGGCTCTTCACCAACCCCTCCATGCACACATTCTTTTAAAAGCATCTTGAATATATCAGGCAGTGATGAGTTTCACCGTTTCTGTTTATCTGGACCGAAATTGTTTAATTTTTTTTTTTTTGCCTTCTTTTCCCCTGAGTATGTAACTGTGCTATTCAGTATTTAATTGCTTTGAGTATTCTTATAGCTATAACAAATTTCAATGGTAGCATTGAACTATGTCAGATTACCCCATCCCCACCTGCAGAGTTATGCTGGCTAAATTTCAGGAGAGGAGGAAACTTTGCCTGTGTAAAATGCATGTTGTGGAATTTGATTCCTAAAAGATGTCATTTTTGTATTCTTATGTCTTGTCTGGTTAATGGTTACCTTTTCCTTAAGTGATATGTTCAAAGGGGTTTTGGAGAATTTTTTTTTCCACTGGAGTTTTTTTTTTTAACTTACTGTATAGTTATTTCAATGTTACATCATTTCTTTCCCCTTAGATTTCAACCAGAAAAACTTAAGCTTTGTTGGATTACCAAGTCAAAGAAGAGTTTCAAGGTAAAGTGATCTTCTCTCAAGGAATCTTAAATTTTGAAGATCTGTGGTAGCTTTTAGAATTATTCTCCTAAATTCCTAATTCATGAGTTTGAATGTTTGGCGGTATGTTTTCTCCCCAGAGTTTGGTTTATTAAAATGTCTGAAGCAAGCTGACCTAATAGTACATTCAGCCAAAAAAGATCCTTTTTGTATTCATTAATGCTGTTTATGGGTACATGATCTATTTGCAGATCAGATAAAATTTTGAACCTGTAAAGGACTATTATCTTTTCTTTCTTGTACCTGCCTCTAAGTGTGGGATGTTCTTTTGCAGTCTGTCCATCAAGTAAGAGAGCTTTTGATTTTTTAAGAGAAACTTTAGCCTTGTTCTTTCTTTCCATCCTTCCTTCTTCCCTCCTTCCCTCCCCACCCCCAACCAATCCATCTGTCCAGTGAGGTCTTTTTTTTTTTTTCCTTAAGATTTAAAAAAATTTTTTTAATTGGACAGAGCAAGTGAGCATAAGCAGGGGGAACAGCAGGCAGAGGGGGAGGGAGAAGTGGGCTTTCCACAGAGCAGGGGGACCTCCAATTCAGGACTTGATCCCAGGACCCTGGGATCATAACCCAAGTGGAAGGTAGACGCTCAACTGACTGAGCCACCCAGGCATCCCCCAGTGAGGTCTTTTAATCATTTCCCTTGACTGTAAGGTGTTATAGGCACTGATTCAATTTACCTAACGTGCTGAGACGCTGTAGTACATAATCATTCATTTAAGCTCTCGTAAAAATTAAAGTTTGTGCCAAACCAGATAGCTGTATCCCAGATGTTTCTTAGTAGATCACTGTCCCTGATAGAATTTGAGATTTTCAAGTGGAGACACAAAGTTATTATCCCTAAGACATGTAGGCATCAATCCCAGTCTACACTTGGTGATGGTCTAAGGACCCAACCCTGATTTGCCCCGCATTCCACTCAGACGCTTTCATTCCTAATGTATCATGTATGACTTTGTTTCTTTGCTATAAAGGGTTTGCATTTCAATGACATTGAATAAATAGCTGTTCTCATCAGGCTGAGCCTGGCCCTGCCCTGAGAATGGCAAAATCGATCTTGTGAGCACATTAGATGAGATAAAGCCTCGGTGGATTTGATCCATGTCTTAGTATCAGGCCAACTAGAGCAGTAATGAGCCAGGGTCATGGGTAAGGTTGTCTTACTGAACTCAGGAAATCTTACATTTCTGGGGCTTCACACAGTTTCCTATATTTCTTATCTTTGCCTTTTTTGATAGAATCTAAGGCTTACACTTTCGTGAGTTCCAGCTACTATAACTAAATACTCTAGACTGGATGGCTTGTAAACAGCACAAATTTCTTTCTCAAAATTCTGGAGACTGGAAGTCTGAGATCAGGGGGCCAGCATAATGGGGTGAGGGCCCCCTTTAAGGTTGGAGATGGCCAACTTCTTGTGTCCTCATTTGGTGGAATGGGCTAGAGAGATCGCTGGGTCTCTCAGAGGAGTTCTTTTATTTTAATTGAAGTACAGTTGATCTCTGAATCTCTTTTTATAAGATAAAGGCACTGTTCTCATTCATGAAGTCTTTACCTCATGACCTATCGCCTTCCAAAGTTCCCACCTCCTCGTCGAATCACATTTGGGGGTTAGGATATCAACATCTGAATCTGGGGGAATACAGATGTTCAGACCAGAGTAGCTTAGTTCCCAGTATGTTCCTGGCAGGTTGGTAGAGCCGTAGTAGAGCTAGTAAGTGACTGTGCAAGAGGAAGAAGAGGAAAGCGTTGCTTATTTAAGAACAGCAGTAGCATGAACTAGAAGGTCAGACGTTCCAGCGAAAGCAGATTCAGAGGGACACAGCTGCTCTAAAATGGTGGGCGGTAGGTCCTCTGGATCCATGCAAATGATGACCTCCTGCCCACGGAACTAGAGTAAAATCGGCTGGAGATGGAGAGCATTCTGATCAACCAGGCCAGAAGTACAAAGAGGAGGTAGTAGACTTTGATCTCTTGTGTCTTGTAATGTGAACAACAGTAGAAGAGTGAACAGATCGGAGGGAGACTTTCCCAGCATGGGTGCTGACTGATCACTGTCATGGTTGTAGCCCCATTTTGTCAAAGACAGATGCTAGTAACCACAGAAAATCCTGTCCTCACTCTCCTAAAGTTTCCCCTTCTTTCTACTGTTGGCATTTAAGTAGGTTAATGGGACACATTAAAAAAAATTGTGGAGGCAGGGAGCAATGTCTTCTTAGATTATTGAAGCAGAGGGAAGGAGGTAGGGTAGGAAAAATTTAGTCCTGAGAGAGCATTATTTCAGAGGAGATGAAGATATATAAAAAATACAAAAGGTGCTGCTTAATGGCAAATGTCAAAAGTCAAGACTGTAGCATTTACATTAGCTGTATATGGAGGGTTATATATTTTATTCTGAAATACAGACTTATGCTTTTGGTTGAGCTGTGGAAACCCACCTGTGCCTACAGAGCTTGTCAGGCAGAGAGCCCATGTCCCAGGGGTGATGGTCCACGAAGAGAGCGCCACGGAGCACGTGGAGCTCAGTGCTTTGGAGGCCCCCATTGTGTGAGGTAGGATTGGGCTCCACCAGTCACACTGCTTGGTGCCTCGGACTCAAAAAAATTAAAGGAGGGTGATGTTAGGGCTCTTTGGGGTATTTGTGGGTTGTTGGTTTTTTTTTTAAGATTTTATTTATTTGACAGAGAGCAGGAACATAAGCAGGGTGAGTGAGAGAGGGAAAGCAGGCTTCCTGCTGAGCAGGGAGCCCATGCGGGGCTTGATTCCAGAACCCTGGAATCATGACCTGAGCTGAAGGCAGATGCTTGAGGACTAAGCCACCCAGGTGCCCCAGGGTATTTGTGTTTTATTAGCCATTAGAAGATGATCGGAAGGGATTACTCATTCACAAGTGTTCCAGAATCTTTTTTTTTTTTTTTTTTTTTTTTTTTTTGAGAGCGTGAGTATGGGCTCGCATGTGGTAGACCCTGAGATCATGACCTGAGCTGAAACCAAGAGTCAGAGGCTTAATTGACTGAGCTACGCAGGCACCCCTATAAATCAATAATTTGAAATAAGACATTTGCCACATGTTCTACAAGTAAGAAACCAGGATACCATGAGAGAAAACAACAACCGAGGTGTATAATATAGATTTGGTGTACGGTGGGACGGGCATGGGGTCAGGGACTTTCTTCCTTGAGGAACTGACCTTAAACTGAGACCCAGAACCAGGAGCAGGACTCAGGTAGGCTGGAGAGGAGGGAACCTGGGTAGAGTAAATCGCATTTACAGTAAACCGTGTTAGGAGCCATGAGAGCTTGACAGTGCTTGGGTTTCCCACTGGTTTCTGACCAACTGGGAAAAGGCTGCCCTTCTTATGGATACTGACACTCTCAAAGCTTGTTTGAAGAAGGTAAGTGCAGGAGCTGTCAGGGGCTGACTTGGAAACCCCACTGTAGAAGTTCAGAAAAATGTTTAACTGGGGAGGAGTTTCTCAGTCTTCATTAGCGGCTTTTTGATAAGCACAAAAAAAAGGGGGAAAATAGAAGCATGCAGATATTTATGTTTGAAAATACGAAATAGTCTTTGTCCCCTAAGGTCAGTGGCCTGAGAAACTGAATATTTCCAGGATTGGACCATTTTTGTTTTTGTAGAGACTTCTTTTCCTGAGATTTTAGTTTCCCGAAGAAAGTACAGAACTTTATCCAGATGTTTATACAAGTAGCTGAATAACCGATGACAATGGCATGCCATTCTTTCAGTGGGCTGTACTTCTACAGTTATGTGATTCTGTTGGTTTATACTAAGTCGTAAATCTGAATAAAACACTGAAAAAGAATTGTCACTGCATCATGATCGCTGTTTAGAAGTCAGCGCCAAGTCCACATTTCTGACCTAAGCAGGTGTCCTAGGGTCTTTAAACCATTTGGGGTGTGGTTTATAATGACTACTTATTCTCAAGACTTTTTATGAAATAATATGAATATATGGCAGTCATATTTATGAATATAAGCCCTACCACATTTATCAGCAATAAGAAAGATTTCAGATGAACTTGGTTCTAGAAGATAGATCTGTCCCCTATCTTGGATCTTGCGCCTGCTAGATTGAAATTGAATTGATGGGTGGAGTGTAGATGATTTGTGTGTCCCACTTACCTGGTATGCACAGAACTTTCCTCGGTCCAGTCCCCTTGGGACCCCTATGGACAGGCACCCCTGCAGAGTGGAAATGCAAATGGAGGACAAGCCCTTGGGGAGGGTTAACTTTGCACTGATGTTCAGCCTTTGCAAGGCTGTCATTCACCTTTCTGGAGGTGATCCTATCACTGAAGAATATTAGTTCTCCTGTTTTCATGCTAAGCTTTCTTCCTGTTGCGTGGCGACAGCTCTGTGGTCTTGCACAACCCCAGACATGCTCCCACGGAGGCCCGTGGTGTCAGTGTGTGCCGCCTGGGGTCCCCTAGATTGGTGTGTCGTCTTTGGACAAACCATGTAACAGCTTCCTAATCTGCAAACCAGGGATGACGATAGTGCCAGTGGTGTGCTGGGGCTGGCTCGCACTGCCTTGTGAGAGCGAGTGCATGTGTCTCTTTCCAGAAAGTCTTATGCGAAGCTTGCAGATGGGCCATAGTGGGAGTGTTGACATCATCAGCAAAGACTGCAAAGCACATGCTCAGGGGAAGCAGGTGGGAGAGCAAGAGGAAGGAGCCCACTGTTAAACCATTCCCAGCACAGCCCTGAGCAGTTCAGGCCTCACTGAGTCTTATGAAGATAATTAAGATTATACCCACAATATGCCTCATTAGAGAAGAAAAGTACATAGTGCTTAATTCCTTATTCTTTCCCCCTTCATTTCCTCCTGTATCCCAAGACAGGTCTTCATGAGCCTTTCAGACTTCAGACCTACTCACCATGCTTTGATTTCTTAGTTGTTTGAAGGCATTTGTTACTTTACCGTAATTTCAGCCCTGGAGGAAAGCATATACATATCCTAGACAAGTTGCTGATTTTCTGAGGAAGAGATGAACACAGAAAGGTTGAGCGATTAATCCAAGCTTCCCCAGCTCTTGGTGAGTGGCTGTAGAAGAGAGTGGCCATCCCAACAGAGGCGTCCAACTCGCGGCTCCACCATGTTGTTACCCCTGACGCCATGCCACCTGTCTGTGCTGACGTAATTCTTCCGTTACACAAAAAAGTTTTAGTGACATGACTATAAATAAATGAAAATAAGCTAGCATTTAACTCCCTGAAATAAAACTCTTTACTTGTAATCCACATACACGTATTTCACTATATATAACAGTCACATAACTCTTGTTTTGCATTTTTTTTCACTTAACATCGTATATCTTGATTCACATTGACTTTAAACATTATTAATGGCATAATTTAATTTTTAGCTTTCAGAAAGAGTTCTGGCTTGAAGAGAAAGAACAGCGTGCTAACCGCAGAAGAAGAATCGATGCTAAGATTTTAACTGCACTTCCGAAAGGTGAGTCTTTCTCTAAATGGTTGACCAGTGTCCCGGGCACATAAGTATTGTGTCACCTGATTTTCTCTGAGGGGAATTCATTCCGAAGCTCCAGTGTATACCCTCCCTTGTGTTCCTTTCTGCCTGTTGCAAGAATTAACCTTAATGAAGGTACCTCTCTTCTTGCGTGTTTCATCTGCACCTTTCTCCGTCTCCTTTCTTGTTCATTTTAGCCATCTTCGGGAATTCCCTGGAGGCCGGGTGGGGAGGGTGACAGAGAGAGCCAGCATAGAATCCACCCACGTCATCTCTCCTACCTCTCACCTTCTCCAGGGGCAGTGAGTGTTGTTCATAAGTCCTTATCTACTCTGTCTACTCTGTCCACTACCTCCGCCTCTTGGTGCTTTGCTGGTGCCTTTGCACTGAGTATCTTAGAGCTCCCTGCCAGGCAGCACACTGGGTTTCCAGGACGCCCCACACCTCCCGCATCTCTTTCCCCAGGTAGGCACTCACGTGTTCTGTGAATTCGTATTTTCATTGGTAAAGTTACAAGTGCCGTAAAACATCGCAGCTGCCATGAGCCCACTACTCCCTATGTTTTGCCTGAGAAATGATGTAAACGTTAACCAGATCTTTGTGTCCCCCAACTCTAACACTGGAAGAGGGGCATACCAGCTCTCAAACTGCTTTCATGCCAAATCCACTGTGTAACCCTTACTTCAGAAGAAACAGGTTTTGGTGGAAGGCCAGATTTTTTTTTTCTATTTTGTCCTCTGAAAGAAAAAAACAAACAAACATGAGATCAAACCCAAAAGAGATGAGACCAGAAAAAATATTCTTTTAATAGAAACTAAATCTAGTTTAAAAGGCCCACTGATACATGGGTGTACAGCCTGAGGAATTGAATAGGTGATGTGCGTAGACGTAGTCTGACGAGGATGGGTATTTGAAGCACCCCAGAGATTTGGCCTTGTGGAGACAATTTAAACAGGGACATTTTGCAATTTTCAAGCACTTAGAAAACTGTCAACTGAAATACAGACTTACTCCGTGTTGTCCCAGAGGCCCCAGACGAGAATACTGTGTTGAGTTACACAGAAGTAGATGAGATTTCGTAGGAGAGAGACCATTCTGATAGTCCATGGGACCTGTGGATTATATGGGCTGCATCGCCATCTCATTCACTCCCATTGGCTGTTCAAGGAAGGTCATGGGCTTCCATGGGAAGGAGACATGCTGCGGGTTCCCGCCTGGATGGCGTGACATGGAAAGAGCCTTCCGATTTTTTAGACTCTTTGTGAAAGACAAAGCAGCTCTGGTGAGTCTGAGCCAACCTTACAATCTGGGAAGATGGTCCAAGCAAAGTTCAAGGGTGAACAGATTGATTTGAGCAGAAACTTAGAAGATTGGACTGATTAGGCAAAGTTCTGTAGCAAAAGCTGTTTCACTCATCCTCTTTGTCTGCCGTGGTCCTTTCCTTGATGAGCAACAGTATGTGCAATATTAGGGTCAGAAAAATTAGAAACGGTATATGAGATGCAAGGTTCCTTTCAGGTTCAACAGCTTGTAACTCTGTATGTGCCGAAATTTAAGAACACGTTAAGTTGATTAACCAGTTTCATTAGAAAATGTATCATAGGGGCTCCTGGGTGGCTCAGCCAATTTAAGCGGCTGCCTTTGGCTCAGGTCATGATCCTGGGGTCTTGGGATCGAGACCCACATTGGGCTCCCCACTCAGCAGGGAGCCTGCTTCTCCTTCTCCCTCTGCCTCTTCCCCTGCTTGTGCTCTCTCCCTCCCTCCCTCTCTCTCTCTCTCAAATAAATAAATAAAATTGTTAAAAAAAAAAAGAAAAAAATGTATCATAATTGGTGATGAAAATGTACTTTTTCACAAATCAGAGATAATACCATGTATTAATCAGATTTATGTTTCTAAATTCACAAGATCTTCAAAACGTGCTTAAAAAGTATCCGAACCCCTCCCCTCCTGAATTTTATGTAAATTCCGCATAGTCTTATTTTACGTTCTGTACTCACGAATTCGGGAAAGACCCGAATTTGGAAAGACCCACGTATGACCTCTAATCTCACTTCTCCATCGTAAATATTTTAATGATTCTGTCAGCTCCTGGAGATATAATGGTGAAAGTAGGAGTGGATTACAACCGTTTTCATGGCATAGCGTTTTATGTCTGTTTATACATTTATAGAAGTTTCTGGTCATTTAGTGAGGAATTCTTGCTTTTGTGAAATTGAGCATCAAAATGATCATTGACTTTTTCTCTAAGGGGGCTTCCTTTAACTGTGTATCACAAACAAGTTATCCAAGGGTTAAAAATCTTTACTCTGTAAAGATGATGATACTAAAATAGTTTTTCCCCTTACACATTATGAAATGGACCAAATATATTAGTCTACTTTCTTAATAGCTTTCTTGAAATATATTTCAAGCAATCTATAATTCATCCATCCAAAGTATACATGTCAGTGGCTTTTAGCATATCCACAGAGCTGTGCACCCATCACCATAGTCCGCTTTGGAACACTGTCCTTATCCCCACAAAGAAATCCCACACTTCACAGCCCTCACCGCCCCCCTTAGTCCTCGAGTTTTGTAATCTCTGATTTTATAAGCTGCTTCTCTTTGTATTAGTGGCTGCCATCCAAGTGTGAAAATTAAAGTGCAGGAAGTCCGATCCCTTTTCAGGACTTTCTGGGTCTGGGCTGTGCTCTTAACTTGTCAAGTGCAGGGTAGGAGGGAGGTGTTCTTGGAAGTCCTCTGCCACTTATATTTCTTTGGAAGATTCTACTGTACTTGGGTTTGGACGCCTGAACTCAACAATAATTTCACCAGAAAGCCTGATTCTCAGGGCTAATTAAAGAAACAGTGTTGCCCAAGAAAACTACCCAGTGGACCACATTATGCTGGGTATTGGCCTTATATATTATGATAAAGCATGTTAGGCAAGTTAAATAACTTTGTAAAGTATGATAGCCCTGATGTCAATTGCCTTTCAGTTACCTCAGAAAATGACTGTCTGATTCCCTTCAAAAATAACTAAAGAAATAGACTCATAGAATCTTTGTTGGCACAGAAGCACTGTTTGGAATTACTCAGAGGAGGGCAGCAGGTTGAGATAGCAGGTGCAATGAGGAATAATTTAGTATATGTCACCGTTTAATGTACTTGAAGGCAAAGTAGAAAATTCGTTACAATGGAAGTTAGATCAACAGCACCTATTTCGATCTGTATTATACAATGATTGCTATTACTGTTACCTGAACCATTTATGAGTGGTATGCATTACACCACAGCATACAATCAGCTTAATTATAGCTGCTTAACCCAATTTTGTTTATTTTTTTTTAAATGTTTTATTTATTTATTTGATAGCATGAGCAGGGGGTGGCAGAAGGAGAGGAAAAAGTAGGCTCCCCACTGAGCAAGGAGCCCCATGCAGAGCTCGATCCCAGCACCCCGGAATCACGACCCGAGCTGAAGACAGCTGCTTTTAACTGAGCCATCCAGGCGTCTCAGCTTTATCCAATTAAAAAAACATTCTTATTTCCTGTTTTTAGGAAATATACACTGATAAATTTAGAGATAAAGGGATATCGTGCTGCAACTTACTCTTGAATAGCTCAGAAAAATTAGCATGTAGGTGGGCCTGGGTAGCTCAGTCGGTTGAGCATCTGACGCTTGGATTTGGCTCAGGTCATGATCTCAGAGTCATGGGATGGAGCCCCATGGCCAGCTCTGCACAGGGTGTGGAGCCTGATTGGGATCTCTCTATCTCCGTCCAGCCCTGCCCCCCCCCACTCGTACTCTCATACTTTCTCTAAAATAAATGTCTTTAAAAAATTATATGCACATATGTGTACATTCATGCATGTGTATACACACATAACACATGTAAATATGCCTATGGAAAAGGATAAAAATGAATGTAGTAAACACGTTATGAAGCATGTGTCGATTTTTCTGTAAGTCTGAAATTACATAATAATAGTAAAGACAAGACCGCTTTTGGTAGATCATGAACAGTAACAAATTGTATTCAACACTGCCTCCCAGACCATAACTGTGGTAGTGCTTTATGACTGAAAGAATGGAGGGCAACATAGATTTCCACAGCTGGGATGACTTCTGTGATTTCTTAATATCAGCCCCTTTTATGCTTTATGATATACCTGACCAAAACTTCCAAACAAAGGGCCTAAGGAGGACTGCAAGAGCCCAGAAGAGGTTGCTGTTTTTGGTTTTTTTTTTTTCTTGGAAAGGGCCCCCAAAAATATGCACACATCAGCAATTCAAATAAAACCTATTCTCTTTTATACAACTGAAGTGTTTTCCCATGGAATAGAGATACTAGAGTAATTATATTGCATGTTTGTTTTACTTTTAAATTATAGACTTGGGAAAGGAAGCTTCTCTATGACTTCTTTTGTCTTCCACATCATATCTTTCCCCTGTAATCTCATGTCTATAGGAATGAAGCAAATCTTGGTAACTGAAAAATAGATTGGTTACAAAGAATTGACTGAGAAGTAATTGTTTGTTTAAGGGATTTTTTTTTTCCCCCTAAAAGATTCACTGTGGGTCTCCACTAAGAATGAATAAACTTGCTGGTACATTTATTTATTTAATTTTAAAGTAATCTCTACACCCAGCATGGGGCCGGAACTCACCATCCCAAGGTCAAGATTTGAGCACCCTACCGACTGACCCAGCCAGGTGCCCCTAGCTTGCTGATACATTTAAAGTATGGTTTGATTTATGACTTCATTTCACTCCTCAGGAAATAATCTTAGAGGACTATAGGTTAGAGGCTTGAAATGGTTTTGGGTTTGAACCTAGGTGTGGTTGAAAAGAGTACGGTGCTGGCTGGTGGTGTCTGTCATTGGGATAACCTAGAGCTCCAGCATCCAGGGGTGTGGCTGCTTATTTGCATCTTTGTCCTAGGATCGGTGCTTCTCAATCCAGGACAGTACCATCCCCAGGGGGCTTTGGGAACAAGCGGGAATATTTTTGCGTCATGGCAACTCATGATGATTAGGCATTTGGTAGGAGAGGCCAGGAGACTTAACGTCCTGAGGTACAGGACTCCATGAAGGAATTTTTCACTCAAAAGGCCATTAGCACCCCAGTGGTGATCTGTGACCTGTTTCAGAATGGGCTGATGAGTCCGTGACCCTGAGGAGGTGTACGTGAATGGCTGCTAATTGCTCTCAGACTTAACAGCAGTGAGACTAACAGCCTGTTCTCTCCAGAAGAGGGCAGAGGTCACCATGGACAGTAGGGTAACTTAGGTTACCCCTTCCCCCATCTTTTTCCCACTGCCCCAGGCTTCTAAGGGTTCAGTTCCTAGGATGAATGACTGTTCTGACCATCAGCCTATTCCCTTCTCATAGTATCTTAGTTTTTGTAGCATGCTGAAATACGTAGGTAATGGCAGAAGGAGAAGTATAGTTTTGTTGTGGGTGGGCCATTTGCACAGTCTGCCAATTAGGTGATCGTTTCTTCTAGAAGATGGGAAATAACATCAGGAAACAACTTAGCTTTTTCACTCTACTGCTGGAATCTTCTTTTTTTTTTTTTTTTAATGTCTTTAGTTGTATAATTTCTAAAGGAAAATGTAAAAATTTAACTAGAAGTGATTTCAGTCTCAGATTTAGGATAAAAAATATGCCTTTGTCTAATAGAAGGTATAGGATACTCTGTGCGTTGAATTAATGTTTTTATCCTTATCTTAGTCCATTTGGGTTTCTATACCAAAATACCATAGCCTGAGTGGCTTTTAAAGAGCACAGATTTGTTGTTCGTAGTTCTGGAGGCTGAATCAGGGACTCCGCATGGTTGGGCTCTGGTGAGAACCCTCTTAGGTCTTGCAGACTGCCAGCTTCTCACTGTGTCTCACATGGTGGGAAGGTGGCGCCAGCACCTTGTGGGGCCTCCTCTATAAGGACACTAATCCTACTCCTGAGGGCAGAGCCAATCATCTCCTAAAGGCCCCACCTCCTAATATCATCACTTTGGGGATTAAGACTTCAACATATGAATATGGGTAGGACATCAACATGTAGACTGTAGGATAACTAGTTGAAATAATTTGGGTGGAGGAAAGATCATGGTGTTATGCTCTGCAAGACCTTATTAAGATACCCTGTTTCTCAGTGATGAGTTTGACGCATAGAGTCTGAAACCTACCTTTCAGAGCACTTGGAATTTGGTTCTAGTAGCTTCTGGCACACTCTTAGGAAAAATATGGCCCCTTGCTCTTCTTGGGGTTTAAATAGTTAATTGATACTCTTTGGTTTATCTCATCCTTGGAAATATTTTCAAAATATGCACTACCAGTCATTAAAGTTTTATCACCATAATCTTGCTGGAGCTAATTTGATTAACTGGGAAGCTAGTATTAATCAAGCTTCCTCAAAAGGTAACATGGCAGAGGCACCATTACCATTACACCCTTGTCTTCCAAACAGAGCTGTAATTGACAGTACAGAGCAAGTATACCTCTGCCTCCAGCTACTCTGGTTCCTAGGAAAGCCACCTGAGGGAGAGACTTTTTTGAAGCCAACTATCTTTTTTTTTTTTTTTTAATTCAATTCGCCAACATATAGTACATCATTAGTTTTTGGTGTAGTGTTCAATGATTCATTAGTTGTGTGTAACTATCTCAACAGAAGTCAATCTAACTAAAATTGTAAGGCAGCTGTCATTTAAAAATAAAAACAAGGCTTGTGTCTCTGAAGACGGTCAAAGGGCAATATAAAAGGGGAGTGTGTGTGTGTGTGTGTGTGTGTGTGGTTCTGACTCATTACTAAATATGACAGCTTTAAAAAAAATAGAAATGAAAGCAGTTGAAAGTTGAATTCCAGAATTTAGGGGTACCTGGCTGGCTCAGTAGAGCATGTGACCCTCGATCTCAAGGCCATGAGTTTGAGCCCCACATTGGACACAGAGTTTATTTTATTGTTATTATTTTAGAGAGTTGGGGAGAGGAAATGCAGAGGGAGAGGGAGAATCTTAAGCAGGTTCTATGTCTAGTGTGGAGCCCAACCTAGGGCTGGATCTCACAACCCTGAGATCATGACCTAAGCCGAAGTCAAGAGTGGGACTCTTAGCCAACTGAATCACCCAGGTGGCCCAAGATGTAGAATTTACTTTAAAATAAAAAAGAAAATTGAAAAAGGGACACCTGGGTGGCTCAGTTAAGCGTCAGCCTTCAGCTCAGGTCATGATCCCAGGGTCCTGGGATCGAGTCCCGCATCGGGCTCCCTGCTGGGTAGGGAGCCTGCTTCTTCCTTTGCCTCTTCCTGCTGCTCCCCCTGCTTGTGTTCTCTCTCTCTCTGTCAAATAAATAAATAAATCTTAAAAAAACAAAAAAAGAAAATTAAAAGTATTCCAGCATTCTTCTATGCCTCCATTGAGTTTCTTCTTTGACTCAACCTTTCAAAGTTCCTTGGACCCCCTGGGCTGTTAGTGCCACTTCTCCCTGGTATTCCTGGGTCCTCAACAGGAGCCACTCAGATGAGCCTTTGTGAATTCACGTGGCTGAGGAGGAGGTGAGAAGAGAGACCTTTATTCTCCACCAAATTGGGCCATTTCTCCAAAGAAACAGGTATTTGGCATCTCAGTGATATCCTTGTAGTCAGTATCACATGAGACCCTCCCAGCCTCAGCCAGACATTTGTCCGCCCATCCGGTGTTACCAGGAGAATTAGGGTTGTTAGTTTATCTATCCACCCAAATTAGAGCGGGGAGACAAATGTTAACATTTCCCGGCAGCGAAAGCTGGTAACGGGAGGCTTAGAACTGTGTTAACCTAAACCGCGGTTAATGTCCATAAAGCTCCATTAGTGATGGCTGGAAACACGATCAGCTAGTCACAGATTTTTACAGGTTCAATGATAGGGTGAAATAGGAGTGTGGGGAGACATGGGGGTTGTGGCTTGCTGATGGGCGTGTGGGGGCTCTAGTACTGGTCTCTGCTTCTGCCGACGTTAGAAGTTTCCCATAGCGGAAAAACTTGGAATACTTTGTTGAATGTAGTAATAAAGACAGATAGTGAGATATCTGCTTGCTGGAGAGATCTTGATGTTCAGGCCTTCTCTGACTCCCCTGGATGAAACAGAACTCATGGTTTTACTTCTTAAAAAAGCCTGTGACGTGTGTGTGTGTGTTTACACATCCCATGTGGCATCTGCCCTTTAACACTAGAAGACAGTCTCTAGGAAAACACTGCACGGGATCTAAGAACAGAAACATAAGTTCAAGAATATATGTTATTGAACATACTATAACATAAGTTATATACATAAGTTCAATAATACATAATATGTAAGTTCAATATTAACTTATATAAGTTCGATAATATAGAAGTTCAATAGATCTATGTTTCATGAATGAGTGAATGAACACATGACTACTGAAAACTGGAGTATCTTTTTATTCTTCTGTTTTATTTTAGTTGCAGAATTAAGAAAAATCTTTGAACCAAAGAGGAAAGAATTTTTAGAAATGAAAAGGTAAGAAATTGATTGCACCTCGTTAGAAAGTAGAAGAGCTTGGTGAAGCAGTATTCACTTTCCCTGAGAACCGCTTTCCATGGCTCACGAGGCCTGTCTTTGGTGCCCTGTACAGAAAAGAAAGAATTGCCAGGCGCCTCGAAGGAATAGAAACGGACACGCAGCCCATCCTGCTGCAGAGCTGCACCGGCTTAGTGACTCATCGCCTGCTGGAGGAAGACACGCCCAGATACATGCGAGCCACAGACCCGGCCAGCCCCCACACCGGTGAGCGCGCTTGTCTGGTAGCCTGCCGTCATGCAGGCTGCCCGAGATGGTCCATGCTGCTTTCTTTACCCAGTGGCATTGGAAGGAAAATGAGATAGTCCACAAAAGTGAATTGTGGAGGTGTACTTACTTATTAAATACATGTTATTTGTGAAACACTGCAATGACACGTATGTCAACTCTGCCCCATCTCACAGGTGTGGTCCTCTGGGATCATAGCAGGAAGAAATGGTTCCTCTTGGCACACTGTTGGGAAATTGATGACCTCATTCACTCCCCCTCCCCACCTGGGACCCCTAGAGGGCAGGAACTACATCTCCCTCCTGGCCCCCTCAGGGTGCTGGCACAGGACCTGCTGTCCTCTTCTCAGTAAGAGTTCTTAGAGGACTGAATGAGACTCCTTTAAATAGAATACCCAGGTGCCCAGCACAGAGCCTGGTCGCTCGCAGCAGGGAGCAATTTAAAATGAGCCTGGACCTTTGAGTGGTTAGGGTTCTTAGTCTATGTGTTAATGCAACAAACATTCTACTTAAATTATTTTAATATAAATAATTTACATGTCATTTTAAATGTATTCCATATATATTTTGTATTAAGACGTATTTCAGATGTGACTTAACTTTTTTGGGTAACTGTCAACGTTAGGAATATGAAATATTCAACTTGGGCTTGGAAGAGGATGACCCATATGGGGCTGTTCTTCTCAACCCATCCCTGGCTCTGCAGCTCCATGCTGCTGCTTTTTATGGCCAGTGTTTTCTGGTTTCTTCCTTAAGGCTGTTGATCTTACTTTGTGATGTGATCATGTCACTTACCTAAAGTTCCTGATCTTCTATGGCCAGAAAGCTAGAGAAGTAAGATTTTTAAAAATTACTTGAGAATCAAGAATAGAGTATCAAAATTTGTAGCCAGAAATAAACCCTCATGTATGTAAAATGTGAATCTATGTATTATAATTTAAGCATCACATATTTGTGAGAAAGGGAAGACTTGTTTAATAAAATGGTACTGGGAAAATAGGTTATTGTGCAGTAGGGAAGGGGTCATAGACCTCTTCTCACTTACACGAAACACAAAAATAAGTCCCAATTAGTCACATGATTAACTTTAAGAAAATAATTAAAAATATGAAAACAGGTGAATATTTCATGCACATCGAATGGGAAAGAACACAGAAACAGCTTGAGAAATCACAAATGACCAGTTCAGTTGACTTGACCACATAACAATTCACATCTGTACTCCGAAGAAAATCTTCCATGTGGATGTCACAGAATATTAAACAAGTTTGAAATACTCATGAATGAGATTAAGGTTCACAGTCTCAAAAAAAAAAAAAAAAGCATGCGAACCAATAAAAGTGACACTATGAATCAATAGTATATAGAGCTTAAATAAACTTCATCAGATATTCCAGAAAAGAAAAAAGTAATACAAATGCTAATAATTGAAAAATGCACAAATTCTCTTTTTCTAGTAATCAAAGGAAATTTTTAAATATTGCAGGTTCAAGTATAAATTGACTCAAACTTTATAGAAATCAACTTGACAGTCTAGCAAGTCTCTTAAAATGATACACTTTTTGGGGCGCCTGGGTGGCTCAGTGGGTTAAGCCGCTGCCTTCGGCTCAGGTCATGATCTCAGGGTCCTGGGATCGAGCCCCGCATCGGGCTCTCTGCTCAGTAGGGAGCCTGCTTCCCTTCCTCTCTCTTTGCCTGCCTCTCTGCCTACTTGTGATCTCTCTGTCAAATAAATAAAATCTTAAAAAAAAAAAAATAAAATAAAATAAAATAAAATGATACACTTTTTGATAAAGCAATTATACCATTATCTGTTGTGATAGTAGTCAGAAAATCAGACTGATTAAAAGTTAGAAACAATGAAAAAAAAATGGCAACAATGCAAATGCCCAGGAATATGAGAAGGGTTAAATTAGCTATGGAATGCCTGTTGAACAGAATATTACAAAGCTTTAAAGAATGTCTTCAAAAAAAGACTTCCAAATATAAGAAAATGTTTTATACGGAACATCAGTGGTATATAAAACATAAATTACTTTATATGGGAGAAAAGAAATCAATTTTATAAAAGACTAGAAGGAATATATAGAAATTTTTGGCAAATTATCAATTTATTATTATTATATATTCGTGATTATTGGTGATTTGGAGTTTTACCTTCCTATGTTTTCAATGTTAGACATTTGCTGTACCAAGCATGTGGCTGCAGTTGGAAAAATGCACTTCTGTGCACAGAACAGAGTACAGTCAATGTGCCTCTGTTCTTGAACTCTGTGTCCCCCATGTGGTCCCTTGTAGGCCGGTCCAATGAAGAGGAGGACACTTCGGATTCCTCGGTGGAAAAACAGACCCGCTCCAAACTCTGCACCGAAACCTCGGGCGTCCATGCTGACCCCTCCTGTGGTTCAGGTCTCATGGACACCCAGGCTCTGGAGTCCAAAGCGGAGAGAATCGCGCGGTACAAAGCGGAAAGGAGACGGCAGCTGGCCGAGAAATACGGGATAGCGCTGGATTCCGAAGCAGACTCGGAATCGCCGTCCCGATACACCAAGTCCAGGAAGGACGCCGATGCTGCTGACAAGAGGGGAGGGAAAGGTGACAGACAGGCCGAGCCAGGCAAAGATTCAAGCTCTCTGTACTCCAAGGACTATGCCCTCTCTGGGGGCGATGGGCTTTCGGACACCGAGGTGCTGCTCAATGTGGAAAACCAAAGACGGGGTCAGGAGCCTAGCACCACTGGGCAGGCCCGTGACCTGGCCCCCACGGTTGAGAGTTCCTCATCCTTCCCCTTCCCTGGGCGAGACTGTGCCTTCAGTGAAGTGCCAAGGTCCCCAAAGCAAATGCACAGCGTGTCCCTCTCCTCGCCTCGGCCACCGGCCTCCCCGAGCCACTCTGCTGGTGACCCTCCACTCCCTCCTGAGGCCCGAGTCAGGTAAGCATTGAGCCCGCTCTGGGCTGTGTTACCATCTTTGCTTTGCCTCCCCTGCGTCAGGGTCTGGGTGTTCTTGGTCTTCTGTGGAGGGTTCTGCTGGTGGCAGAAATAGGTAAGATAGGGTTTTTTAAATTTCTGCAGTATAAAAACAGGTTCTGCCCAAGCAAGAAGCTTCAGTTCTTTTTTAAAAAAATGATAAGCTGAACAAGTGTCATGGGGACACTTTCATGGGAGTTTCACTTACAGATCCTTCTTTTTATGGGTTTCTTATATGCTTTTAATAATTGTCTTTTCCTTTATGTATTTCTCTAGAATTATACCCAAAACCCTTTTTTTTTTTTTTTTAAGGTTTTATTTGACAGAGACACAATGAGAGAGGGAACACAAGTGGGGGGTGGGTGGCGGGTGGGAGAGGAAGAAGCAGGCTTCCTACTAAGGGGGGTGCCCGATGCCAGGCTCAATCCCAGGACCCTGGGATCATGACCTGAGCCAAAGGCAGACACTTAACGACTGAGCCACCCAGGTGCCCCATTATAACCCAGACTTCTTAGTGATTGTTTTTGTTGCTGTCATGTAAAATCACAAAGCAGAAGGACCACCACTAACACAGTGGAAGGGTCTCAGTTTTGGGTATGACGAATGACTGCAGTATAGCTTGAATATAATTGTCTCCTGTAGCTATGCAGGTATATCAACATGCTGAGAAACAGCTGTGTAGAAGAGTACCTCATTAAAAAGATCAGTCATTAAGAGTAATTGTCATACACAAAGACAACAGCTCCCATTTGGGAAAATCAGAAAAAGGGTAAAATGAGAAACTCAAATGCCAGAAGAGAATATTTGTTCCTAAACTCAAATTTCCAAATTTAAATTAAATTTGATTTGTTTCCAAATTTAAATCAAATTGAAATTTCTAAATTTGAGTAAGATTTAAATATTTAAATCTAAGTAAAATTCAAATATTTAAATCTAAGTAAAATTTAAATATTCAAATTTAAGCAAAATTTAAATATTTAAATTCAGTAAGTGTGATGACCATATTCAAAAGGCACTTTACTTAAACATCATAGTTTAAAGTTTGGGACAATTGTCTAGGTAGATTTTTAGGTGTGTTTTTCGGTCCAAATAGCCATTAGCTTCCCAGGTAAATTGAGGAGAGGGAGGATCAAGCAAATTTATTTTGAGGGGAAAACAAAGGGGTGGGGGAGGAAGAAGTATTGGGAAATACTCCTTTGTATTTCACACTGGGACAGAGCAGTGAACGTGGTCCTCTCTAAGTGGCAATAATACAGCTAAAACAGATCATTTTACTTATTGATATTTATGGAGTCAAAGACCTTCCCCTACTTAGTTGATAATTCACACTAAAATATTTAGAGAAGTTAACTTCTTAGAGAAGTCAGTACTGTAAAAACTGATACGGGGTTCTGAGGGCCTTTGTTTTAGCCTTTGGGCTTATTTATTTATTTATTTATTTGACAGAGAGAGAAAGAGAGAGAGAGATCACAAGTAGGCAGAGAGGCAGGCAGAGAGAGAGGGGGAAGCAGGCTCCCTGCGGAGCAGAGAGCCCGATGTGGGGCTCGATCCCAGGACCCTGAGATCATGACCTGGGCTGAAGGCAGAGCCACCCAGACGCCCCATAGCCTTTGGGCTTTTTGAAATTTTGGGACTGTGACCTGTTTTCTCTTATTTTGAAATTAAAGTCTGTTGTTTGAGAAACCTTCATTTCGTAGCAGAAAACGTGTTCTTGCCTATCAAAGTGAACACTTCATGTGCTTTGTAAACAGGTCAAAGAAACCTAACAGTCTAATTTAGAAAGGAAATTCGAGATTTACGCTTACATGGGTTTGGAGAAAATTCAGAGCCAAATTTCTGATTGCTATATTATGAAAACTGGGGTTGTTAACGTGGCACCTGGGTTAGTCATCTAGATCTCATATGATAGATCCTCAGTGAGATCCTGAATTAGTTGTAATAATAACTAAAACTTGGTTGGGTGCTCCAGGTCAAAAGATAGGATATTTAATTGTTCTGTGTTAAAATCTTAATATTAAAAAAGTCTATAATGTAAAATCTTAAGAGGTATTTCTTTCTCAATTATTTGAAGAGGCATGTTACTTGGAAGTTTCCATAAGCCTAACCCCAGCCTCTTAGCACTTACTTGACTTTCACAAAGAGAGGATTAAAAGGATTAAGAAATTATAAAGGAATTCTTGAGGCACATGCTTTATTTATGTATTTTTCAATTTTAAAAAAAGCACATGCTTTATATATTTAATTTAAAAAAGGCACATGCTTTTTTAAAAGCCATTCAAGACCTATAATTCTATGATTTAGAGGCAGAGAAACACAAATCATTTCATATATATATTTTAGGAAAATACTGAGATATATTTACATTAAAAGGGATAGAACATAATGTATGACAAGTATGACAGTAAAAGATAAACAAAGATACAAGAAACAGCATGGGAGGTTCTTCAGAAAGTTACAAATACTCTACAGTCCAGTAATTGCACTACTGGGTATTTACCCCCAAAAATAAAAAAACACTATCTCAGAGGAATGTGTATACCCCTACATTTATAGCAGCATTATTTACAATAGCCAGATTATGGAAGCAGCCCAAGTGTCTGTTGATAGAAGAATGGATAAAGGAAATGTGATTGATCAATCTATCTATCTATCTATCTATCTATCTATCTATCTATCTATGCTATTCAGCCATAAAAAAGGAATGAAATCTTACCATTTGCAACAACATGGATGGAGCTAGGGAGTATAGTGCTAAGTGAAATAAGTCAGAGAAAGGCAAATACCTTATGATTTCACTCGTATGTGGAACTTAAAAGAGCAAAGAAAAAAGAGAGGGGATGGGCAAACCAAGAAACAGACTCTTTAACTATAGAAATGATAAGAGAACAAACTGATGTTTACCAGAGGGGAGGGCGTGGGGGGATGGGTGAAACAGGTGAAGGAGATTAAGAGTACACTTACCATGATGAGCACTGAGTCATGTATGGAACTGTTGAATCATGGTATTGTATACCTGAAACTAAAATAGCACTGTATGTTTTTTAAAAAAGGATTTATTTTGTAATGACTACAGCAATTCATCTTGCAAAGATGGATTTAAATGAATTAATATTCTGCTTAGATATCCTTTCTCTAGAGCCCGGATCTTTGGGTGTCAGAAAACCATTGTTGTCTGATTTCCATTTGGGGGGAAGAAAGACAAAAAATACTTTGTGAATTATAACAATAATCAAAGAAATCTCAGTGTCTTAATAACCATAAATGAAAATGCCTGTCATCCAGTATGGAAATAAGTAACAGAAACGTTGAGGGAGATGAAGGAGTAACCAAGAAAACCATTTACAGATAATGAAATTATTTTATTCCGCATGTTTTTGTGGATATATCCTAGCATTGAGATGGACTGTTTTTCTCACTGCTGTACTATATACTCTCTCATCACCTAGCTCTGCTAAGTATTGGGGCTAGTAATGTCTGAATTAACTCATTCCCATGTCATCATTTTATTTTGTGCTCACTAGCAAGAGGCTGGTTTTTTTTTTTTTTATCATTAATTAAATACGAATGTGTCACTCATGAATATACCATCAAAGACTTCCTCTGGTATCCTAAAAATCCACCTCTGAGCCAGACATCAAATGCACAGTTTTTGTGTGTGTTCATGTACACGAACACATGTACAGACGGAACAGTCATTATAACATTAAGAGCATTCTAAGCTCCTAACAGTCTTGAGGGCTGAACAGTACATTTAAATTTATTAGAATTTGTTAATGTTTATTTGAACATTTATATGATTAAGAAAATACATATGTCACAGGGTCTTTAGCTCAAGAAATCCTGTAGCTGCCTGGGAGTTCGGGAGAACACGTCCTTCTGAAGGAAATGGAGAATATATATACTCACAGAAGAGAGCCTAAGATACCTCTTACCCAACCCCTGAATTCTGCCAAGCCCCTTCAATTTAGAATTTCAGAATTGTGTTTTCTAGAGAGGGAGGTTTGCTGATAGGAACCATTCTTTGTTAATTAAGCCATTGTGAATTTTAGAATAAAATTCAAATGGATCTGGGGCCTGTGGGTTTTTCAGATTTTTAAAAATCTGAGCTGTCGCTAATGGAAATCCTGAATGCAGAATTTGTATTTCTTAGTTAATTAAAAAAAAAAAAAAAAGAAGAAAGAAAGAAAAGAAAATGCACCATATTTGTTACTTCTGTGAGTGGAGAATCTCACGACCTGAGTTCCACATCTGCTGTTTTCCTGAGCATCCACTGTGACTCCCTGATCTCAGTGACCTGTGTATTGGCAAAGAGGAAAATTTCCCAGTGGTGATCCACTCTAGAAAACGCCCTCTGTGTTTCATCTCTCCGCTTCTGTCCCCACCCCTCCAACTCCCACTTAGCAAATTGTATCATTAGAAAATGATTATGGTGTATAGAGCCCTCCCTGAAATTTGAGCTAGGGAGAGCTGCCATTGGTCAGTCAAGCTTCGGACAGGGCTCTGGTGACATCAGACCTGTGGACTGGATCTTCCTGGGTCACCTCCACAGTGAGCCTTTTCGGAGACATGGTGACAAGCAGACTCAGCCAACTGAGAAGGAAGGGGGCTTAGATTATGTTCTTGTAGTTTGTCTCTGATGATACTTACTCAGCTCCTAGGGAGAGGTTCAGTCTAAAAACTGTCTTCAGAGCCTCAAGCTCATTGTTTTCCTTGTTAAAGTTCTGTTAACCTGCCTGAAAGAAATGTCCACCCGGGAGTGATAAGGAGAGAGAAAGCTGCCTCTGGTCATAGGCATTCCTGTCTCAGTCCCTGTTCCCCCAGGGCAGGAGTGTTCCTAACACAGGCTCTGGGTCAGGGCAGGTGTCCTGGAAAACCTAGGTCTCTAAAGAAGAGACTTCCCTGTACGCTCACAGATCTTGTAATGGGATGGAACTCTTTTCACCTTTTAGCCCCTGTACCCCCAA